AAAAAAAAAAAAAAAAGAAAAAAGGGCAAAGTAATCCTAAATAAAGACTTACCATAATGTTACAATAAATACTGTGATATTAATGAACGGATAGATACATATATCAATGGAACAAAGCAAAGTTATGCAATAAGCCCATATAAATATTGTCAATTGGCTTTTGACAAAGTTGCAAACGCCATTCAATGAAGAAAGAATAGTCTCAACAAATGGTGCTGGAGCAATTGGATATCCATAAGCAAAAACAAAACAATTAACAAACAGCCTCAATCTAACCCTCAAGCCTCATACTGAGGTTTCAGAGATTATCTGAAAATGTGTACAGACATTGGCATAAATGTAAAAGTACGAAGTTTTTAAAGGAAAACAAAACAAAAAAAATCTTCCTCACCTCTAAGTTAAGCAAATAGTTCTTAGCCATGGCACCAAAAGCACAATCATAAAAGAAAAAAAAATGGTAAATTGAACATTAAGATTTTTAAAATTTGCTTTGCAAAAGACACTATCAAGAAAGTAAAAAGAAAGCTACAGATTAGGAGAAAATATTTGCAAATCACATATCCAATAAAATGTCACCCAACAAATAACTCAAATTTTAAATTAAACATTTAAAGGTAATTGTACATTCACATGCAGTTGTAAGAAGCAATACAAAGAAATCCAATGCACCCTTCTCCAGTTTCCTTCAACGGTACCACCTTATAAAATTGTAGTACAATATCACAACCAAGATAGTAACATTGATACAGTCAAGATACAGAATACTTCCATTACTACAAGGATACCATATTTTGCCCTTTCTTTTATAGCCACATCTATTTTGCTTCTCCCCAACTCCCTCTTTAATCCTGGGAACTAACAGTCTGTTCACTTCTATAATTTTTTCATTTAAAGAACTTTGTATAAATGAAATCATACATACAAAAAAGCCAATAATAGATGGGATAGACATTTTTCAATTAGATTAATTCTCTGGAGATTCATTCAGGTTATTGCGTGAATCAATAATTTCCCTTTTATTGCTGAGTAGTATTTCATGATATGGATGTATTGCAGTTTGTTTAACCACTTACCTATTGAAGGACACCTGGGCCCTTTCCAGTTTTAGGCTATTGCAAATAAAGTTGCATTCATGTGCAGGTTTTGTGTGGATGTAA